TATTGTAAATTATGTGCCATTAGCATCAGTTATAATTGATAACTGGAAAGTGTTGTCATTATCCCAGAATAGACATGCTTGCACTCACTGAACCAACCAAATTGCTGACATAACTTGATATTTGATCTCCTAATAAGTAAACATCCAGTGCTTCCAAAGACATAAATTCTATGAGGGGGGCTTGAGCGTTAATTACCTGTGTATGAGAATGTTGTCAATATGAAACACATTGACTGCAATGTTTGATTATATGTGCAATGCATGCAGAGGAAAGATCACGGGAGATAACCCGGAGAGTACCATGGTGGCTGGTTCCTTGCATCGACCCCAGCCAGACATGCATGTTTGTTGTTGTATGAAATCTTCTTTGTCATATGTGAAGCTCCATTACTATGATTAAGTGAAAACAAACATATCATGAATAGTCCTTTTTGTGATATTTCCTTGGAAGTTTGTATGTAATGAATGTTTAATCAACTTCCAGCTGGATAAGAAAATTGTAAGCATTATTTTGTTGAGTACTGCATATCACTTTTGAATCATAAGTGAATGGTTTTTTTATGATTATTATATAATATTAGGTATTGATGTTATCTGGAGACGTATCAATTTCCAAATTTATTTATAAAATACCCTGCATAGGACCCTCTCAAAACCTGATAGATGTGTCTCGGAAGAGCATCCTCATTAATACAGTGTATTTTATCACCATTCTTTAAGGATACATACCCTGGATTCATTCACTGCGAATACTGATTTGAATAATGCTCTTGTATATGTATAATTGACATATGTACAGTTTTTAAAACACCTCTCGAAATTATGATATATGTCATGCTTATCTGATCAACTATCACAATGCAGTGGTGCAGTACAGTATATATTCCACTGGAATGTTGCTACACAGTGCAGATATGCACATCTAGCTATTAATGGGTTGAATCTTATATGTCTCTGTATTATATGAAAGTATGGCCTTGTGTTATACATTGTTGAGAGATGTTGCTGGATGAAAAGAGATAACAAGGGGAGATAACTGTCTTGGGCGGAGAAACAGTGCAAGAGGAAATAACTTGTCTTAACGTCCAACATTTATGATCATCTTATGAAGGAAAATAATAGATTTTAATCTTATCAAATCTAGTAACTACATAATTAGATAATTTTACCATGTTTTAGCAAGAGTTTCTAGGATATTCTGTTTATATAGAGATTTGAAGTATCAGCTGTCTTCACTGGAGAGGGAGTTCTTATCTTCATGTAAGATTTTCTTTACATAGGAGGTTATTTTTATTTCAAGCACTTTTCACTTGTGCAATAGCTATTCTGGTATGAAAAATGTCAGAACTACAAGGTAGTTCCTTGCTTGGCTCTTTTGCTTCAGCTCATTAAAAATTTGTGACTTCAGCATGCACAGGTTTTCCAATGCCGGAAGACTTCCATGTAACCTTGACATTAGCAATCAAAATGACAGCCTCATCATGTTGCCTCAGTAGCTAATGCATAATTCAATTCTACAAAAATAGCTTCCATTTCGACAGGTTATTGGTGGTAAATATGGGGAAAACATTTCATCGAAGGATGTTCCTTGGTTTCTGGAAAGATAATTTGGTCTCTCCATAAACATGTTTTCATGATATTATTGTGTCAGCCTGACCTTCACTAATATGCACAGGGATATAAGAGTTCATATCACATGGATCCATGTAAATGATATGTAGTTTGATACCAAGCACTAGGATGTTACTGCTCATACAGCATGAACCTTTTTGAATGAGCATCAATTGCTTCAGGCCTTTTAAGTGCCCTGATAATAGGATAACTATTATATATGTAGGCTGAAATTTCTTTTGAAAATAAAGTAGAACATATGTCATTGTATTTAATGTAGCAGAAAACATATGTTGTTCTTTTTTTAAATATAAAATGTGATTAATAGAAATAACAAATTATTGTCATCCAGAACACTTAGTTTTCTCTTTGAATAGTTGATTTAGTTTTAGAATTGTGGCATTATTATTTTTATCATAATTAAAACACCTTTATGTTATATTATGGGAATGTACTGTTCCTGCTTGAATCGAAATGTAATTTTGGAGAGTAGAATATTCTAATAATATTAAAATGGTTAAAGGAAATTTATGACTTCAATTCATTATTTAGCATTTGATTTTCTCATTAGAAATTGAATGAAGCAGAAAAATGAGAGGTTTATGTGTTTTTATTGCCCTGAAGACGATGATATACAGAAACATCAGGGTGCATGCAGCTCTCAAAATTAATGCAAGTCTGCTGTCCCAAGAAAACTGAATTGTGCTGAAGACAAGTAAAAATCCAATGATAATTGGCCTCATAGACTAGTAAGGGTGGAAACTGGACGTTTACAGTTAGTTAACTCCTCAGGAACATGCAGATTGGTGTAGTGAGCCCGCTCCAGTTCCTTGCTGTTGCTGGGTGACTAAATGAAAAATAATAATAAATCTTACTAAACTAACTAATATCTGTAATAGTGCAATGTGAGAAGTTTTAATTATGAGTATTTTACATTGTGAGAAGTGTCAAATATTTAATATATTTAATATTTGTATTGTTACATTGTTGTATTATATTATTATATATACAGTAAACTACAAGTATAAAAGTATTCCTTGTATGTCGACAGTGGCCTTGCATTGATAATCCCATTACAGCATAGGGATGAAGGTTTTGCTATTGTGCCCAGAACCATGAAGATGTTTTGGTAACGCTGTTCCTGCAGTAGGCAATAGGAGAAGTTACCATTTGAGGGCTATAGTTCCAAACCATTTCTCAATGTTTCAATTTTGCCACAAATTGGAACTGAATAAAACTATCAGAAAATGTAGTGATCACATTTATCTCTTTCAGGAAGGAATAGCTACAAACTCTGAGGACTAGTGAAATACTTGTGAAAATATTAATGTTGGAAGGATGTGATTCACGCTTGGCTGACAAAGAGGAAAACATGTTTATTACAGCTTTTAAACTGTCACAATACAACACTGTTAAACATTGCCTCAGTGTTAATAACAATGCCTGGAGTGTAACTGAATCCTGCAGCATACCTGACAGAGATTAACTGTTTAGTTATTGCCTTTTAGATAGTTGTTTAACACCCCACTGAGCAATATTGCAGCTATATGATGATGGTCTGTAAATAATCCAGTCTGGACCCAACAGACCAGTGATTGACATAATAAGCATTTTAATTTTGAGCAACTGGGATACAAGGACATATGTTGACCAAGTTAGCTAGTGTGACCACCTGATTCCTGTTAAGTTGCCTCGTACAACAAGCATAGATTGCTGAAGACCTAACCTGGATCTTCACTATGTTCTTATTGCCTTGTAAAGGATATATCAATTTTATATCAACTGGCAGATCACACACTAACCGATGTTAAGTGCTTTTTGTTGCCTAGTAAAGGATATAGCAACTGGCATATCACACAGGAACAGATGTTATCTTCATGTGTTGCCTGGTAATAGATATATCAATTGCATATTAACTGACAGATCACACACTGTAAGATGTTAACTTCATTTGTTGCCTTGTAAAGGATATATCAATTGTATATCAACTGGCAGATCACACACTGTAAGATGTTTACTTCATTTGTTGCCTTGTAAAGGATATATCAATTGTATATCAACTGGCAGATCACACACTATAAGATGTTAACTTTATTTGTTGCCTTGTAAAGGTTATATCAATTGTATATCAACTGGCAGATCACACACTAACCGATGTAAAGCTGCATGTGTTGCCTTTTAAAGGATATATAAATTAACATGGTCACTATACTAATGTTACTGGTTTGATTTAGGCTATATTATTAAGGGTATAGCCAAGCAGTGGGTCACTAGCCCCATGGGGTCTTCAGGGTAGATCATGCTAGTGCTTCACTAACCAACACCATGTATACAGGTCAAAAGAGGCATTGAACATATGTTGTTGAAATGGGTATGGTGGTCAGGCTCAGCGGCTTGGCTATTAGCGTGTCATCATACCCCGATGGTACAATATTGATAACTGGATTGTCTGGTATAGATTCAGTTATTTTCAGTCATATAGCTGGAATATTGCAGAGTGTGACATTAAGCAAGCAAACAGTGGATCATCATGTAAATTAGGGCTGGGACGATAACTCAGGTACCCGAGTCAGGTGGTTACTGAGTAGGACCCGGGTACCCACAGAACTACCCGGACCCGTGGTTACTCACGTGATATGTTGTTTAATGACAAAAACTCACTATAGCTCAGTGGTTACACTATAAGTCGCTAATGTTCGCATTTCATTCTGACAATGCACACATTCCTTTTGACTTGTATATGTTTGAGTAAAGATAAAGCTTCAGTCAACTTCAGTGAACGCATGATCTGATTGTTTGATACATGTATCTAAATAGTTTTAGCCAGGGCTGCGGTAAAACAATTGCCAACAGACATTTTGTTCCCAACTCTTGAGACTTGCAGTGGGTACCTGGGTAGGGGAGGGTAATAGGGGGTCAGGTTCCCGGGTAGGGTAGGGTAGGGTAATAGGGGGTCGGGTACCCGGGTAGTAAATTTTGACTCGTCCCAGCCCTAATGTAAATGTAGGTTGTTGTACATTGTGTATGAGCTGTGATTTCCTATCATTTGTTGCAAAACAATACAAATGAGTTCCTTAAGCAAGGATTTGGTATTAGGTTTCTAGCGAGCAATATCTGTAGTATTATTTAAATCATTATGCAGCCCTCTTTATGTTTATGTTTGGTAGAGACCTGTCATCAGAACCCACATTTTGGTCATTTCCAGATCTCTGTATAATTAAAGAGGCATTATGTTACTATTCAAAGCTGATTATTCTCTGGCTTTGACATATTATATTTAGATAAACTCGGAAAATGTTTATATGGACGGTATGATGTATCATGGCAAAACATGAATTATGCTTCAATATTGCACCTTTTGTTTATATTCCATTTTTCTGTCATTTCAGAAAGACACACTTGGACAGTGGCTATTTGACAGAGTATGCGAGAAACTCAGCTTGGTAGAAAAGGATTACTTTGGGTTGCGATATGTGGACGCCGAGAAACAAAGAGTGAGTATACACATTGCTTGACACTTGAAAGTTCCCCTCGATCAAGTGGGCACGTCCCACTGTAGTCTAAGACATCCCTTGGGCACACCAGAAACCTATGATCATGGGTTTGAATCCCAGTTCACCCCGATTATGTTTCTAGGTTTGTCAGCACCATACCCGTGCTCGTGGAATTCACTAAAGTGGTGAATGTCTTAGGACTTGTATCCCTTTGGGCTTTCCTCCCACATTAAGCTGAACAACGGAAGTACTGAAACCTTCACATGAATGGCCGATGGTCTGGCTGATATTCTTTTGTTTAGTTACATTTAGTTTATGAAATAAAAGATATGAACTTTTGTAATGAGTGGCATTTAGACAATGATCCAATATCAATATAATGCAGAGAATTGCAATAATTATTCCCGTGTAAAACAATACAGACTGCCAATATATCAGACTTTTGAGTCCAGCAGTCTGGCTGGAATGATCTGAATTTTAAACATTGGGTGCACTAGTAATATTTTGATAAATCTACAACAGTTTTAACAAGTTAGTGACATGAATATGTTGTGACCTTTATAAAAAAATTATGCTCTAGATTTTAGAAATAGTTTTTTAATGTTTGATCTGGTTAAATTATTCAAAGCACATTTACCGCCCCCATGTTTCAACATGAGCTCTGCAAAAAGCCTTTGATTAGAAAATTGGTATTTGTAGAAAAAGATTATGGCTCTAGACTTGCTGATTGATAGCGACAGCACAGATCTTAATGTTGCCGCACAGATGTATGAATTCCTGGGGAAATTGGCGGACCTGTGAGTACAGTGTAGGGGGATGTCTTGCTGGGGAGGGGGGTATAGAGTAGGCCATGGCATTTATACACCTCCACCATACCCACATACATGTACTGGATGGAAGACATTCCTTACGCCATTGTTGTTCCTGGTTGAACTCTGACCTTTCTGTGTCCAGCTTTGGATATTGTTTCATTAGTGAAAAGTCACAGCTGGATTGGGAATGTAGACATTGGCTTACTTCTTAAATTGGATTGAATTAGATGGAAATTGTACCTAATTTGGAAAGAAGAGTATTTGTGACCTTTAATGGTGGTTAATTTGGTTCCCCATTTAGCAAGCACAGAATTTAAGTAAACTTGTGCCTGTGTGCAGGCAGCCAGATGTGGGCTTCACACTGTTGCAATGGAAGTTACTAAAACTGTATACAAACCACTTCAATATAAGTAGACTTAACTACAGGTAAACAGTATGCCTACCACTTCTACAGGTGATCTGTATGCTTACCACTGATACAGGTGAACTGTATGCATACCACTGCTACAGGTGAACTGTATGCTTACCACTGCTACAGGTGAACTGTATGCCTACCACTTCTACAGGTGATCTGTATGCTTACCACTGATACAGGTGAACTGTATGCATACCACTGCTACAGGTGAACTGTATGCTTACCACTGCTACAGGTGAACTGTATGCCTACCACTTCTACAGGTGATCTGTATGCTTACCACTGATACAGGTGAACTGTATGCATACCACTGATACGGGTAAACTGTATGCCTATCACTGCTACAGGTGAACTGTATGCCTATCACTGCTACAGGTGAACTGTATGCTTACCACTGCTACAGGTGAACTGTATGCCTACCACTTCTACAGGTGATCTGTATGCTTACCACTGATACAGGTGAACTGTATGCATACCACTGCTACAGGTGAACTGTATGCTTACCACTGCTACAGGTGAACTGTATGCCTACCACTTCTACAGGTGAACTGTATGCTTACCACTGCTACAGGTGAACTGTATGCCTACCACTGATACAGGTGAACTGTATGCTTACCACTGCTACAGGTGAACTGTATGCCTACCACTGCTACAGGTGAACTGTATGCTTACCACTGCTACAGGTGAACTGTATGCCTACCACTGCTACAGGTGAACTGTATGCCTACCACTGCTACAGGTGAACTGTATGCTTACCACTGCTACAGGTGAACTGTATGCATACCACTGCCACAGGTGAACTGTATGCCTACCACTGCTACAGGTGAACTGTATGCTTACCACTGCTACAGGTGAACTGTATGCCTACCACTGCTACAGGTGAACTGTATGCCTACCACTGCTACAGGTGAACTGTATGCATACCACTGCTACAGGTGAACTGTATGCTTACCACTGCTACAGGTGAACTGTATGCATACCACTGCTACAGGTGAACTGTATGCCTACCACTGCTACAGGTGAACTGTATGCCTACCACTGCTACAGGTGAACTGTATGCCTACCACTGCTACAGGTGAACTGTATGCTTACCACTGCTACAGGTAGATAGATATATAAGTGCCACGAGCAGTTTGAGTGTATGTTATCATAGAAACAACTTTGGCTCAGCTGTTGATGGTTTATATCAAGATGCCTATTACAATTAAAATCATTGTCATACAATGATGAACAAGTCTTTTTTTATTAATTACAATATCAAAGTTCAAAGCTTTACATTGCCAATATGTATGGCAACACATATGGGAGTTACGTCCATAACCTCATGAATTATTGCATTATGGAATAGATTTCTTTGATTATTGCAAATTTGAAGGCACTATGCTGTGATCAGTTTTCAACATTTATCAATACATTTCATGTGTGGTTGAATATGAAGATAATTAATCTGATATAACATTAACACTTATTATTATTATTCATTCATCCTTTTCAATTTTATTTCAGCACTGGTTGGATCCATTGAAAACTGTATATAAGCAACTCAAAGGTAGGTGTAATATGATACTAGTATGTACAACAAGTAATACCATTTTGTTATACAACCCTCCTCTCATATTACATATCCCCTATCATATCTCCTCACATCTTACAGCTTTTATTTCCACCCATTTCTCACATGTCCACCCGTATCTCACATCCCCTCCCATATCTCACTTTTCATCTCATTATGTCATGCTGCTTTAGGTATCTCTCGCCTCCCCCCATATCTCCCATCTTCCCCCATAACTCACACCTCCCCCCATATCTCCAATCTTCTCCCATAATTCACACCTCTCCCGAAATCTCACACCTCCCCCCACATCGCATGCCTCCTCCCATATCTCCCATCTTCTCCCATATCTCACACCTCCCCAATATCTCCCTTCTTCTCCCATATCTCACACCTCCCCCCATATCTCGCATCTTCTCCCATATCTCATGCCTCCTTCCATATCTCATGCCTCCTGCCATATCTCATGCATCCTCCGTTATCTCACACCTCCTCCCATATCTTACGCATCCTCCCATATCTCACACCTTCTGCTATATCTCATGCCTTCTCCCATATCTCGTGCCTCCTGCCATATCTCATGCATTCTCCCATATATCACACCTCCTCCCATATCTCACGCCTTCTACCATATCTCATGCCTCCTACCATCTCATGCCTCCTCCCATATCTCACGCCTCCTCCCATGTCTCTCGCCTCCTCCCATGTCTCACGCCTCTTCCCATATCTCATGCCTCTCCCATATCTCACGCCTCCTCCCATATCTCATGCCTCCTCCCATATCTCATGCCTCCTCCCATGTCTCTCATATCTCATATCACATGCTTCTTTCTTATGTATCTGCTACTTTACATATCTCGCGTCTCCTCCCAAATCTCACACGCCTTATATCCCCCCTCTTAACTTTAATTTCCTCCCATAACGCATATCAACTCTGATTGCCTATTTCTCCTCTCATGTCTCAAATCATCATCATTTCCTTGTTAACAAGTGTTACATCAGTAATGTGACCTCTCTGTCCAACATGACAAAGAAACTTGAGATAAATGAAACCGAAATATGTATGGCACTGATGTATCACAAATCCGAGATGCACTCACAACAAAGTTATAATCTGCGTGGGGCAGTCTCATGTAAGTACATTAGGCTTTCAGTCTGCAGCAACACTCCCAGCATGGCCACTCAGGCAGACCTAAATCACATAAGGCGATTGTTAGATGTCAGCTCTTGTTGGTCCACCCTTCCACCAAGAATTATTACAATGGAAGGAGGATTTTAATTTAATTCCATTTGTTGCTTGGAACAATAGTTTTTAATATATTTTATGTGATTAATCAAATCAGGAATGTTCTTGCTTTCAATAATTGTTAAATAATTATATTATGGTCGATTGTTACCATAGAGTATATCATCTGAACATCTACACTGATATCTACAGATTGAAGTGCATATGAAAGAATTCTTTTCAGATTTGTTGTACATTGGGGAATCTATGATTTAATCTAACATAAGATTAAGTGCCCTTATGTAATTGTCTGGTCACCATGACGACGTGTAGAAGTCTGCCTGTATGAGTCCGCCAAAGGGTCCCAGACGTGATCGCTCCTGGAGTTTCGGCTCGACTGAAGTGAGTTCTGCCTCACTGATACACCTATGTGTTCCGCTTTCCACACACTCAGCAAGTCTTGATATTCTCTTCAAGTCCCATGCTACCAACAGCAATTTGGCCAGTTGCCACTGCAATAACACTCACAGGGATGTCTACCATAGCTGGTAGATATTATATGTGCTGAGTTACACAAAAAGTAGTACCACTAAACATATTTTCGTTTCTGATGCTCATACTCATGGCAGTTATTGATAAAAATTAATTCATAATTGATCCATTGAAGAAATAGCTCATTTGCTGTGCACAATGACAACTTTGTCTGGACGTTGCACTCGGCCATGGAATGTCTTGAAGGTCATGTCAAAGGTGGTGGCACATGGTCCTGTGTACAGCGCACAGGTCACAAATGCGGTGACGTTAAGCAACATTTGTCGTGGAGAGTCCTTCGATAGGTGACTGTGTTTTTTGGGATGGTTCCTGAGACTTTTTAGGGCTACCGTCCTGCCCCACACTGAAGCACATGTGGTGTGTCCTTAGGCAAGTGACTTTGTTCAAAATATGCCTCTGTTCACCCAGGTGTGAAAGGGTATCTGGAAGGATGAGATGGTTATGTGACTGTCAGCCTTCTAGTGCCTCACAGGCAGCTTGGGTTGTATACTCCCCAGGGAGCTGAGGTTGAAAATCAAATGCACACTGATCCATTGTCTGGGGTAAAAATAATGTACCTATTCAAACATAAACTGAGCGATGCAGTTACATGTTTATTATTGTTATTATTGTCGTCATCGTTTAAGAGTTAATGAATACAGATTTCTGGAACAGTTTGTTGTAATCTCTTGACAGTTAATGAACACAGATTTCTGGAACAGTTTGTTGTCAGCCATTAACCCTTAATGAAAACATATTCCTTGAACAGTTTATTTAACACAAAACAAACGTAAGAAATTAAATGCATATCTCTTGCCATTTTTGATATGTTTGGATGAAAACCGACGAACTACTATATCCTGGCCTTATGGAGCAGCCATTGATAATGTCCTCCATCTGCATCTGTAACTTCATCTGGTATTCATGGGATACACCCTCCTCATCACTGATCTCGGGACATAACCCAACACAGCATCACCTGCTAACTTGTCCCCTCAAAGCATAAAAACTACTTGCCGTCGTTGAATTCATTGCCAAGCTAGACCTAGACCAGGCAGTCTAGTCCATCATGGACTATTGAAATGACCACACTATCGGTAATCTTGAAGTACAAGGCCTACTTAGCACTGGTCAGTGACTGTCACAGTGGTCTAGTCCATGATGGACTATTGATCTTACCACACTATGGTAATCTTGGGAGTACAAGGCCTACATAGCACTAGTCACTTGGAAGAAAGATTTTGGATGATAAATAGAATCTCATACTCATGTCTTTTGATATCAAATACATCAACACTCAAGCCTCAGAGATAATCTCTGTTAAGCATGTGTTCATATATCATTGGATCATTGGTTTTCAGACATCATACGTTCTCGGATGGCTATGTTAATCACGATTAATCTCGCTATAAGTTAACAAGGAGTGTGGTGTCACACAGACATTGTAGATAGTCAGATGGTGGCTTACTTTTAAGATAAAGTTGTATTTTATTAGTGAGTGAGATGTTTTACAGTTGTTCATGTGATTAGCGAGAATGTTTCTTAAGCATCTGAAAACCTATCACACAGGGGTATTTGACACTTTGATTAGGTTCTGTAGTTGGATAATTTAGGTTCACATTTTTGTTTAGTGCCAGACTCAGCAATATTCCCGCTATATGATAGTGGACTGTAAATGATCAAGTCACCAATCCAGGTATAGATATTGTCATCAATGACCAATGTTGTCTGGGTGTGATGACACGCAATCAACTAAGTCACAGAGTCAGATCATAAGATCTATGTGGTCACCTCTCAGACCAGCATCAGTTGTTGGGACCGAGTTTAACCTGGAATCCTCGCAGGGTTATTTTGGCCTTGCTGTGTTAATATCAATTCACAGTTCAATACTAAACTGAGCCAGCCAGCTATCATAGGTATCAAGTCTTGCAAGCAATCCACTATACGCAGTTCAACTGCTCCTGGCCCGTGAAGATCCTGGGTAGAATAGGTCTTCAGCAACCCATGCTTGCTGTAAAAGGCGACTATGCTTGTCGTAAGAGGCGATTAACAGGATTGGGTGGTCAGACTCGCTGACTTGGTTGATGCATGTCATCGATCCCAATTGTGTGGATCGATGCTCATGATATCAATCACTGGATTGTCTGGTTCAGACTCGATTATTTTCAGACCGCTGTCATATAGCTGGAATATTGCTGAGAGCAGCGTTAAACAACAAACCAACCAACCAATCAACTGCTCCTATTTTCTGACAGAGCATGATTGGAAACTATTCCTGTTTTGCGTGTTCTGTTGTATTAATAGTAAGATGGTGCCTGATAGACAGGGGATTGGGTTCCACTCAATGTTTATCAAAATGTGTTGTTGCAACTGTGGCTAGGCAAAAGTTAACAAGAACAGCGAAGTAAAATTGGGATGCACTGAGTCAATATTTGAGAATGTGTGGAACAAAATATTAATAGTGTATGCATTTCTGGTACATGTAACTTAGTCATCATCAATAGGTATGGATTTTAATCAGAAATCCTTTTGTAGGCTGGCTGTTCAGTGCAAGAAATCAACTCAATGTTTGTTTGATGAAATATAACACTGCATTAAAAGTATTTTAAGGGGAAATTTGAACTTTTGTATTGGGTCGGATCAAAGAAAGAATTGGCTTGATCTTGAGTTCATCTAATTCTGGACTTTCCTCCTCAGACAAACTGGCAAAAGTACCACTTCAAATCACAGAATTCTTCAAGTAGCGATTATATACTTCTTAATAGCTATGTCGACTGATTTCTGTCTCGTAGGCCATGTTGGAAAATTCAAGATTTAGCCAAAGTCAAAGTCAATCACAACATTCCTCGGTCAATATTGAACCAATGAGACTAGACAGCAATAATGATAGGTCTGTGTTGGTACTGATAGAGCCGCTTGTCAAGATTGGATCAGGAGATAGGGGAGAAACTCTTCAAGTACCGGTATGGTGTGTGGGAAATAATAACAGAATGTCCTGGTGCCTTGTGCCCCTATGACACAAGGTATATTTATAAATAAGGAATAGCTGCTGTCAAGATTCACATATAGATCAAGAGTATTCCAAGCCAGTGAACGATCCCTTTACATGTCTGACCAGCAGTAGAGGCTGGAGCTAGACGGGTGGCTGTAAATGGGGAAACTGATACATTGTTCATTCCTTTGAATTAGACAGGTAATTGTACTGGGGAAATTCTGTATGTTGTACAGTCTTGAAGGTACA